ACCAACGAGATTAGATCAATATACGTACTCGACCCCCCCCTATACTTGAATCCTGGCTCCGCCACTGTTCTCGATGCCAGGGGGTGCAGTCTTGGCGTGAACTTCGCATCGGTGAGGTACTTCTTATCCCATCCTCTAGGCAGCTTGATGGATATGAGGGCGCCAGTTGTGAACTTCTCCACAATATTGTTTCTCGGAGGATCTCTTAATAAGTTCCCTCCAACGGCTCATGGATGGTACACGAGCAATGCTAGACTCACGGGCAGTTTATGGGGATTAACGACCTGCTTAGAATAGATTGACTGAGATTTGTTTAAGTGAGGAGGGCCCACCAATGAAAATCGAGGGGGGGATTAGAGAAGGGTACGCAGACAGGTCTGTAAAACTCCGTTGTTTATTTCCGTGTGTGTAGTATTATCGGATGGTACACCCATCGCTGATTGTTGTGGGTTCCTTACGAGCAGGTACATGCTTATTGTTGTTATTGTATTTGACGGATGCAATTTGCGCCTTACTAATGTTCTCTACCTTATATTCCTCCTCATCTTCTTCCTTCACCCTCTCCACAGGGTCCTCCTCTTCGAACAAATTGTCTTTGTGCTTTTCGCACCAAGATCGATTGCGCTTGATCCCGGGATGGAGATGCATCTTCTAGTTTAAAGTCCCTCTCATGAAAGGGACATGAACCATGCGGTGAGTTGTGACCAGCGGCTAGGTGATACTATTATTGCTGAGAGGATGTTGCCATCCATCGCATGAATATGACACGGCCTTGATGGACATCCCTTCACCTGCAAACTTGATATGCATCTAGGAATAGATTGGTTTGTCAATATGCAAAAGGAGAGGCATCCAAGGGGTATATTATGAGGCGTGGGTTCTGGATATCGCGATATTAGGGTTATGGAGGAAGATTAGGAGACAAACCACCAACTTCTGGAAGGAATCTGTTGATTTTCCTGCAATTGTGACTAGTGCTCGTATCTTAATACTTGTTGCCGCTTCATCTATCGAGAGGAGAAGCTGGTGCCCGGTACGTGCATGGCTGGTTGTACTCATGCTTGTATTGTGGCTTGACCTGCGATCAAGGTTTTGGTTACCGAATGAGGTAATTTTACCGAGGGGGACTGATAAATGTGGTTACCACGGTTACCGAGAAATACCGACAAATACCGAGAATATTTCGAGCGAATTTTATAGTTAAATTTTGAATTCAAATAAGAAAATGAACGAATATTCAAACCAGAGACCTCTTAAAACAGGAACTAGGTTGCTACCAACATGCCATAACCAACTTTCATTGCATTAATTAGACCTTACATACCTTACTGTAAATCGAGTGTTTAAATTCAAAAAAATTTAAAAAATGGTATTTTTTGCTCGGTATGACGATTTACCGAGGGGCATGGAAATACGTGGTAACCATGGGAAATCTTGAAATTTCGACTGGTAACCAAAACCTTGCCTGCGATAAAAAGTGTTTTTAAAACAATGAAGCACTGAGCCACGAAACTGAGAATACGGTCGGTGGGACAAGCCGTACGAGCATCGCCGCATGTCCCATTGGTCGTACCTATTTTGTGTTAGCAGACCGCAGTTCCAAAGAGGAAGAAGGGTTGTGGTATGAGCATAGCTGCTCGTACCACCCTGTAAAACCAAATTCTCAATCCAGAAAAATATGTACAGTACGGTTAGACGATACATAAATTCATAGGAGGCAATAAAATACAACTGGTGGACAGTTTATGTCCTTCCTCTACTTCGAAGCAGGTTGGTTTTTTACCCCTGACTAACTTACATGGATTGAGACTATCAGGGTAACTATTTAAACCCAAGTCGTGTACCTTGCGTGAAGCTCTCTTTTTAGTAGCAGATAGTAGATACTCCATAGGCCGGTTAGTGTTGCTCATCACACATTGCATCTTTCTGGTAAGGGTTACAATTGTTCCAAAAGGGATGCAAATTCTTTGTGTTCCCACATGTAGACCTTCACTATCATAGTTCCTTCTGCCTCGGTAACTTTCATATCATCCCTATAAAATATCTGAAAAATCAAATTCCTGCTATAGCAAAATCCCTTGAATTAATTGGGGCTTTGCGTTCTTCTTGGTTAAGATACTTTTCAAGGCTAAGTGGTAACATTAACTTTGACCTTATGTCAGTGATTTGGGCCTAAAATTTTCACAAGCGAATACCACAGTATAAAACTCTATCTGTGATATCATATTTCTTTTGAGCATCACTAAGAGTGCAACTTTCATTGAATCTCTTACCCTTGCTTTCTCCCAAGCGACACTTCTAGCATACTCACCAGCTTCACAAATAAATTTTGAGGACAGAACGAATGGTCAAAGCCTTGACCAGATGCCATTGCTAGACTAGCTGCCATCATCTGCATGCACGTGCGCAGGCCTTCTCTAAGCTCGTCAATGTAGCCCGGCTGAGGCAGTATAGTATATCATACACTCGCTGCCCAACGCCTATGTGAAAACCCTTGTGAATCAATCTATATAAGGGGTTCCATCCAG